ATAGAGCAGTTAGAGTGAAGACTGAAGGAGAGCTGAAAGGATTTGCGGCACCATGAGGAGAGCAACAATACCAACCAACCACAGCTCCCAGGGTCTAAACCACCAGCCTGGGAGCACTTACGGGGGGATCCAGCGCTTCAGTTGAATATGTAAGAGTGGAGGGCCCTGCTGGGCATAGGTGGAAGAAGAGAACCTTGACCTCATGAAGGCTGGATGCCCCAGGGGGTGGGAATTTTGAGGGTGGGGAGGTGGGAGTGGGGGGGTAGATAGAGGTTACATCCACAGAGAAGAAGGAGGAGGGGTGAGGGGATTTGGGGTTCCTGGGTGGGTGGGGGATGGGGTAAGAGGAATAATGAGAAAAACAGAAAAAATAATTTAAAAAAATAAATAAAAAAAAAGAAAAAAATCTCTTTAAATTTTTAAATAATTTTTAAAAGTCTTTTTATTCTGGTATTTACTTTTTTAGAGGGTCTACCACAATCCCATGATGACAACTTTTTTTTTTAAATGTGATGAAATATGAGATAAGATTTTTGCTTCTCAGTATTATTATAGCATTCCAAAGGAATAAGAAACACAATCTACAATTTTAACAACAGCAACAACACCAAAAACAACAACAACTTAACATCAAATAGTAATAAGGCCAACAACAACTAGAGATAGAACATCTTTTCTCAGTGCCTGCCTTGGAGAGTTTACATATCACATACATACAGATATGCAAGCCTGCCATGTGGTACAAGGGATGGTTGAGACTAAAGTCCCTTCACTGGTGCTTAAAATTCTTCTGAAACACACTCAGAACTTCTGTAATTACAACCAGGTGTTGGGAATGATACTTAAAAATAATGACAAAATGAAATTATTCCTCAAGTATATGAGAGTATTATTTATGTATTATTGTATCTATTTTATTTTTTATACTTATTTATTTTATTATTTGAAAGTATCTTCATTTCAGAGTACCTCAATTGCTTTTAACCAACAACAATAATAACAGAAAGAGTTTTAGGTAAATATGTAAAAGGCAGAGCTACTATGGACATAGCGAAAGGAATTTGCCTTTTAAACTCATGGTCAACGTCATTTAAGTTCCAAAGTTAAATTGGTCTCGGGGGAGTTTGTAGGAATTGGCTTTCAGGGCTATCGTGCTGGGTGTCTTGTTTGTCCCTCTGGATACTCTCTCCTTTCTTGAGCCTTACTGGTCTTTATGGACTGTGTTGCTGGGATCCCTTACTCTCTGGCTTCTTGGTGAATTTGAGTCAATGGGAAGCATAGGTGAAAGATTAGAGAGAGAAAGGTGAGGTCACACTGTTTCTATCCCCAGGGTTTAGGATAGTTGCTTCCCTCTACTGAAGATCATAGCTCCTATTAGGGAGTTCTCCTCAGAGAGTCAAGGTCTGTCTGTCTGCCTCTGCTTCTGCCTCTGCCTCTCTGCCTCTCTGTGCCTCTCTGTGCCTCTCTGTGCCTCTCTGTGCCTCTCTGTGCCTCTCTGTGTCTCTCTGCCCCTCTCTGCCCCTCTCTGCCCCTCTCTGCCCCTCTCTG